TTTCATAAGTCAACACAAGTCCTTCATACCTTTTGGAAAAGTTCAGTCTGAACTTTTTTTATAAGGCTGAGATCGTTGGATTAGTTCACAGGAATGGACCGGACAATGCTCTTGTGGAAGAAAGATGTGAAGTCAATCAATTTTAGTTGTATGGTGTTGGTGGCTATGACTGCTTAGTGGTTGTCTGTTGTTGTTATGTGTTTGGTTTTGTAGTTCTCTCTTATGTAATTCTTGCATTTCGTCTGTACTTATTTAATCATTATGAATGAAAAATTTATTGTTCTTGAACCTGTTATTTATTATTTTTCTTTCGTTTAACTATTCATGTTATTAGATAAAGCGTGTTGGAAATCTTTTTGATTTTCGACAAAGGGGGAGAAGATGCATGATTTTGATTATATCTATTCTTAGAATTTTGAGCCCAAATGTTCAAATGCTTTTGCTTCTAACCTTGTTTGATGTTTGACTTATAAACTTTGTGAAAATTCACCGACTTTCTCAAATTCTGGCACATAGATAGCAAATGTCTAGACAGATTCAAAACATCTTGACCACACAAGTAAATATGCAAAAATTTAAATGGCAGAAAAGTAAAATTAACACTAGAATTGTTAACGCAGTTCGGTGCAACTCACCTACATCTGATGGCTACCAAGCCAGGAAGGAAATCCATTATGATAGTATTAGTTCAAAGATAAACTCCTTCGTTTTACAACTTCTCGCCTAATCCCTACCTTGTACAACTTCTACCTAGACACCCTTTAGATATGAGATCCCCCTCTCACTTCCTAATCAGTCACAACCCCAGTGACAATTCAACAATTACACAACAAATAAAAGTAGCACAACTTCTAAGACAATACTTGATTTTGCTTAAAATCTTCAACCAAGAACAATACACTATTGCTTAAAATATTTAGAGTGGAAAATTAACAATGAATAATCAATCAACCTCAATGCATCAGAAGATACATGAGTGACATACAATTAAGACACACTAAACCCTAAAGACCAACCAAAGCACGACTAATCCTTATTCTCCAAATTCTTCACGTGTTGTTCTTTTCTTCAATAGGGTAAGGTTTTCACTTTAAATAGCCTTCAGACCTAATAAACTTGGGCTTCTTGAAGTGTACAAATAACAATAATCAGTTTTAACTCACTACAAATCATCCTGCACAAAAATAGGAACAAAATACAAACTTTCCTAAAAAGGCTCAAGGAACCTTTTTATGAAAACTAAAAGAATTTGTCATAACATAAATTCCCACGATATACTCCATGAATAACACACAGGTGTGAATCAGAACACACTCAATAATCGCACTAAAAATACCAAAGTAGTCTTGCCATAACTTTATGGTATAACATGTCCTGGAACATGTCACAACATCATGCATACCATGATGCCTGACTGTCATGAAAGAACATCTTTAACATCTTGCTAACAACATGTTGTTTTACCAAAATGTAGCCAATGCAAAAATCACAGAACTTAAACTTTCTTAGATAGGTTATTTGGAAATTAGAAGACCTTCATTTGGAAATCAGAAGACATGGTCAAGATGCATGAAGTTTGCTCTGATGAGTTATCTCTGATACAACACATGAAAGAATCTTGCTTTGATACCTCAAGCTTTTCAGAAGTTCTGAACTGTATGAAAGCATGACAACCATACTCTGATACTTTAGAAGTTGTGAACTTTCTGGAAGTATGGCAAGTTGTTCATAAATTGTTAACCTTCTGAAGATTCGGTTAAATACATGGTTATCTAAAGTTTTCGATTAGGTTCTAAATATTCTGATAACACGACACTTTGCACCTTCTGGTGGCATGATCAAGATTCTGAAAGAACTAAGGTCTAATACATAATGTGAGGCATCAAGTCAACTACTATCTGGTTCTAATACATCATAGTGCTTTGATAGTCAGCCAGGTTCTAAGATGAAAACCAGGCAGTTCTAGTCAAATTCTAATAAGACATCAACAGGAAAATATCCCTTCTCTACTTCACCTTCTATACATCAAAATTTATTTTGTGACTCTTGGACTAAAGGGGAGACTCTAAACAAGCATAAATAAATTTTGGGTGTAACAGATTCAGGGGGAGCTAGTTAGCTCAACTTTGAAGTTAAGGTTTTTGGTTATTACCCTGTATAAATTGTTCTATCAAAATACATGGCCTGTCATCATAAAAAATGGGGAGATTGTAAGAACAAGTTTTGGTTCTACATCTGGCCCTAAGTTTTGATGATAACTTTACATGTTATTCTAGAGAACAATTCTATACTCTAATGCTTTATGTCAAAGTGTGTAGCTTTTGTAAAATAGGTTCTGACTCTGAACGAAAGGCGCGTGACGTCATTAGACTCTGAACTCAACATTCTAGAAGAAAACATATGGTGTTTAGAAATCCAAGTCAAGATTCTAGAATTCTTATAATACAATGGTTCTAAAGAACGTTAGTACTAGAGCTTCTGATCATGATTTAATAAGTAAACTTTGGAGTCCTTTTAAAGTCTTGCTTCTGAGTATCAAGTGTTAAAAACTCTGAAGACAAGGTTCTGCTGAAAAAGTTCTGAAGACTCTGAAGACATCACTTCTGATGACCAAGTGCTGAAGACTCTAAAAACAAGGTTCTGCTGAACAAGTTCTGAATATTCTAAAGACTCTAGTTTTTTATCCTTCTACATCACGCTTCATCAACATATATCAGAAGCCTATAAAGAATAGAAGATAAAGATAAAAAATGGTTTGCATGAAATGATAAGTATAAAAGTACAAGGTACACTATGACCACTACTCTGCTAAGGCGGCGCAAGGATAGGTTCTTTGATACAATGTTGTCTAACACTTCCACAGTGATCGTTGGGGATAAAACAATTGTATTTTTATTTCCCATTCTACCCTCCAACGGATCTATTTTCAGTTATAAAAAGAAGACTTAAAAAAATTGAATAGAAGAAGATGGAGAAGCATGAGCCCTAGAAGTAGATGTCTCTGCATGGCCAGACTGGAGAGGAGCCTCCGAAACCTGACTCTTCTCTTGCCGCACTGGTGCATGTTCTAAAATTCTCCCGTGGCTCAACCTATCGTGTCTATAAGTCATAATGCATGTAAATTAATGTAAACCAAAAAATTAGTGCAAGAAAGCCACACTACAAAAAAAAACATAAAACATACAACTAATTTATGGAGATACATCTCCGGGTAATATGAAACCTGACGTTGAATTTTTTTTGAGATGCATCTCTGGAATTTTCTATAACTCTTCATTTCATCAATGGAGGCAATCTAGAAATGAAAACCTCAAAACAAACGGTTTGATCGTGATTTTCAACAAACAAACGTGTTTTTACATCATGTATAAACTAGCATTCTTGCATTTTCTACTCATTTGATACCTAAATCATCATTTTCTACTCATTTATACAAAATCTCAAAAAACTTATCAAAACATAAAAAACATATAATTTTACACTTTGCTTTAGTGTTGAATAATATTTCTGATGTTGATTGAAGATCCTTTGAGTTTCATTGTTTGATTTTGGACTTGGTGATGAAAGAAAGTTGGGAGAGTTTGAAAAGATTTTGAATTTTTTTAGAAATGAGAAAGGAACAGGATTCTAGAGCGACTTAAACTTCAATACCTTCAGGAGATGCAACTCCGAAATACGTTAACTCAGAATTGGGTGCGTCTGGAGATGCATCTCCGAAATCTGAGGGATTTAAATATTTTCACGTGGTGCCTAAGTAAGATATATGGTGCATTAAGAAATTCCCTTAGAGTATATTCTAGATTATTTGTTAGTCTTTCTGCATCAATTATTTACGTTTCGATTTCATTGAGATCCGACTATAAAGGGGTCTGTCAGAATTTCCGTGTTCATTATAGTCTGCCCCTAGTCATTTAAATTACAACATTTGCTCTGCATTCATTTCAGCGTCCAACATTTTTATTGTGTTGAGTTTAAAAGAATGAATTTAGTCTCACATTAATTAGAAATATGATACATGTTGTATTTATAAGTAAGAAATAACTTAAGACAATCTTCATTTTACAAGTTATCTTATAGGATGAATTAGACACAATCAAAATTTTAAAATGGTCAGAATTAAACTAGTATAATTAAATAGAACTCATAATAGATATTCAACAGGAGTTAAATATCAAGTCATAACCAAATTTTTATTCTTGAGAAGTGATTAAACTACACAAAAACATCAAAAAATTTAACAATAAACCATAATTATAAAATTATTAGACTCTCTTAGAGAAAATCTAGTGTATGTTTGATTTAATTTCTGAAAGAGGTAAAAACAATTTTAAATAGGTATAATTGATTTTAAAATACTTTTAAAATATATTTTTTAAATTAAAATTAATTCTACTTAATTTATAATTTTTAAATTTAAATATAATTTTTATATTAAAATTTACCGCTCAACTCTATTTTACATAAAATTATTTAAATATAAATCACATAACTCACTTTAAACCAGATTCACTTATAAAATGAATTCAATTAAAATCAATTTTTTTCATCTTAAAATTAATCATAATCCAATTACTCTACAGCGGTTTGCACCATGCTTCTGCTTTAGAAGATCAACCGCCTTCTAGAAATAACAGAAGAAGATTACACGTCATAGAGAAAATAGAAAATATTATTTAAAGTTTTGTTACATGTATATTGACAAAGCTTAAATAATTATTCTGAAAAAAACTCATATCTAATATTAAAACAAATAAAAACTGAAGACATATTTATAAGTTCAAAACATATCTTAAAATTTTTTTACACTCAGAAAAAAAAAACATGAAATAAAACCTCAACAAACTTCGACATAATCCCTGTATAATAATATTGTTTCAGAAACTAAGCAACTGAAACATTACTTGCAACTACTCAATTTGTAACTATACACATAACATGATAAAAGAAAACTCGCTAACACTATCAATAATATAACACGATCATGCATCTCCTTATAAACCTTAGTTATCAAGTTTATCATCCCACCTTAGAAGCAAAATTGTGCACCTCCACATGATATACAATCTAGTTTTCTGCTCTTTGAACTGCACTGAACACCGTCGCATTAGGCGATGAGCCCTTGGAACTCTCATTGATAATGATTGTCTTGCCATATTTACAAGTAGTAGTATGATATACAAAATCGAAATCTTTATGATGTTGCAGCCATAGCTCTTATAGTAGAACTTATGATGATGACGATGATGATAGAAAGAGATTTATATATAGAAGGGAGTTATGATTGGTGAAGAATGTGTTAGGAACCGACAAGGAGAGTGGTCCTATGTTTTGATTATACGACAAAGCAGTCTTCGTCATATTGTCTCTCGTCTAGCGTATGACTTCTCTTCAACAGCTCATCATTCGAGGACTGCCCAACCCTATTTCTACTCCACTTAATACTACTATGAACTAGTATGAGAATTTTCAAGGGGCAAAATGGATTCGGTCCCGCCTGTCCCACTTTTTTCTCGGGTTTTTACCAATACGATCATTTATATAGATTTTTTGCGTTTTCAAACTTAAAATATGTCGTGTCTGCGGGCTTTTTTCGCCCAACCCTCTCTTTTTTATTGGGTGAACCTAGATTTTAGCCTCACAATCTAAACTATGATCCTCCGTTCCATATCTCATATATTAAAGAAATAAGTCATCCATCAGGTTTCATGATGGTTCAAGTCAGGCTCTACGAGACTGAGTTTATAGGAAAAATGGCTGACATCCATTAAGGGAAGACTATATATACTCGTCCAAAGAGTTAGGTCGTCAATCATTTATTCACATATCAAAACCTAAAGACCATTGTTTGATTGATTGCAGGCAGAGTCACTTCTATTGTACTCAACGTAAGTACATTTAGTAATTAATACTGTTGCATCCATTAAAAACACATTTTACAACTCTAGTATCAAACTTGACTTGTTTGATATACGCAAACGCCAAAGCTCTGAAACTCTTAAAATTTGATTAGGCCACTGGCTTTCCACTCTAAACATTCATAAATGTAAAGTCTATTAATGTGGATTGACATTTGTTGATCAGACAATTTCTTGTAGCAATAAATACAAACTCTTTGGTAACTTATCTCCAAACAACATACACTTCACTCTTTCTAAAATGATCATATTCATTAATTTACCTAGGCCATTTAGTAGATGTGTTATACCAATGGTCCAATGCTTCCCGATACCTTATTTTATGCAAAACTCGTTAAACTACTCTCAAACAAACTCCATGCCACTGTTAGTTCTCGACACATTCAGTTTAATCCCTAACTGATTTTCTATAAGAGTATGTGATTTCTTAAAATTTTCAAATGCTTCACTCTTATTTTTCAAAATATAGACTTACACTATTCTAAAATATCATCGATAATAGTGCGGAAGTCTAAACAACCTCCATGAGTTGTAATCCTTATCACATCTCATAAATTTGAGTGAACATACGCAAACAATTTATTAGATTTTTGCACACTACTTTCAAAATTAACCTTGTGTTGTTTTCTTAGTATGTAATGATAAAAAATAGTGTATTCGATTTTTCACTTCCTAAAAAATTATTTTTCTCTAGCACAACCAAACCTCTGTCACTAACATTCCTAATCTAAAATGATATAGCTTTGTATTTTCATGAAAGTCTTGATTAGATAATGATATGTGAATACCAGCAGTGGAACCATTTAAAATATACAACACACAAAATTTAGACCCTTTATCCATAATCAACGCACCATGCAAAATTTTAATGCTCCACATTCAATTTTAGTGCAATAGTTTAAATCATCAAACATGTTTATATACAACAAATTTCACTTAAGCTCGAGAACATACCTTACATTACGTAGAAAGAGCTCATGATTATCGAATATTTTAAGTATAACCATACCAGTACCATGAATTTTGTACGCCTTATTGTCATTGAGTTTAATGAATCAACCCTTTTTTAGCTCCAAAATCTCAAAGTACTATTTGGTTGGACATGTATGATAATAGTATCCTAAGTCCATGACACTTAACTCTTTTCAGTCTCCAAACTTGTCACCATGAGTACACAAACACTCATAACCATTCTCATCCGAGACAGCTACAATATTAACATAATTACCCTTACCCCCTCGAGACGATCCTTCTTAAAATGACAAGTTTTATGACAAGTGTATCATTTTAACTTCAACTTGTAAAAATCCATATATTTGGATTTAACTTGTGTTTCTCCCCCTCGTCATTTCCTCCACTCTTACTCGTGCCTCTTAAAACAACCAAATTTTCACCGTTATCATCAATCTTCAAAATTTTTATCTGAGTGAACTCCTTGATTCTCATAGTCCTGAGAGGAGATAGTGCAATCCTTATCATAAAGGAGTGAATCCTTAAAATTCTAAAAAGACCTAAGGTCATTAAGAGTAGAGTATTGTCATTACTATCAAACTTCACCTAAATATTTATCAAGACATCAACAATCTTGTGAAATTCTATTAATGACTTCACAATATATTTATTTATGGGCTTGTCCACCATTGCGGTCTTGCTTGCCCGTGTTAGGCCTATATGCATTAAGGTCTCCATTTTCAATGCTTTTACACACTTTTATTAAATTAAGACTTCTCATATCTTCACTTCTCAGAATCTAAAACTGTTGTACCCAAAAAAACTTATTGATATCCCATTTAAAATTTATGGTGCTCACTTGTACATTTAACTCATTTTCTCTGTTGTGAGCACCATTTGTTGTGACATTCAAATATCAAAGATCAAATAAACCAAGAAAAATGACGTGTGGGATAAAGAACAATGACAAACAAAATAAACGACCTTAAGAAAAATTAATTTCTCAAGCAGAATAATCAAAACCACAAGAAGAAGAAGAAGAAAAGACGAGTAGACACATCATTTATATATCTAATTCATCAAACATGTCTACTATGTGAGAGAGAGAGAGAGAGAGATTCACTATAATTAAAGAATTATTACAAAAGATTACGAGATAAATTACAAAAGAAAAACAATGAAAGTTCATAAAAATATCTCATATTTTTTTATCAAAGTGTTTTTTAATTTCTCTTTCATTTAACATAATCACATAAAAATCAACGTGTTTAGAAGTATTTTCCTATCTCATTAAATACCCTAAAAAATCTTCTAATTCTTAGAACGTGCCCAAAAAATCTCTCTATTTACATCTCTAAATTTTCTTTATTAGAATTTTACATTTCTCAATTTCATATCTAAAAAGAGCATGTTAGACAAAAATACATTATGTCCATAATAAACGCATGAACACATTGCGTTTTTTAAACCAAACCCAATGCATTCTTACAAAACTTTTAAAGAAAATCTCCCGAGATATATATATTTTTCACTTTGCACCTTAAAAACACATAAAATTTGTATCCTTAGTAATAAGTATATACTATCTTGTAACACATTTTTCAACAATTAAAAGTCTCATTTCGTCCTTTCAACTTATTATTTTCAATTCAAATGAATAATAATAATAATAATAATAATAATAATAATAATAATAATAATAATAATAATAATAATAATAATAATAAAATAATTCATAAAGTTTTATAAATAGCTCTCAATAATTTGTCGCATTTATTTTATTAGTTTTTATCATTTAATCTATATAATGATAAAACGTTAGAAAGCATCAAGAGGAATGTTATAAAATACTAGGGACTAATACATTAGAGATTGTTACAAAAGATTACAAGATAAATTATACAAAATAGCAATGAAAGTTCATAGCAATATCTCTTTTTTTTTTTTATCAAAGTATTTTTCAATTTCTCTTTCATTTAACATATGAATCACATAAAATTCAATGTTTTAGAAGTATTTTCCAATCTCATTATATACCCTAAAAATCTTCTAATTCTTAGAACAATGTTTTTAAAAAATCTCTCTCTATTTACGTCTCTAAATTTTCTGATTAGAATTTCACATTTCTAAATTTCATATCTAAAAAGAAGCTTCTTTAAAAAATGTTAAAAAAAACGCATTATATCCATAATAAACGCATGAACACATTGCATTTTTCAAAACACATTGTATTTATATCAAACCCAATACATTCTTACAAAACTTTTCTTGAAAATCTCATTGAGATATATTTTTTCACTTTGCACCTTAAAAACACATAGAATATCTATCTTTAATAATAAGTATATACTATCTTGTAGCACATTTTTCAACAATTAGATGATTCATTTCGTCCTTCAAACTTATTATTTTCAATTCAAATGAAGATGAATAATAATAATAATAATAATAATAATAATAATAATAATAATAATAATAATAATAATAATAATAATAATAATAATAATAATAATAATAATAATAATAATAATAATAATAATAATAATAATAATAATAATAATAATAATAATAATAATAATAATAACAACAACAACAACAACAACAATAACAATAAAATAATAATAACAATAATAATAATAATAACAACAATAACAACAATAACAATAAAATAATAATAACAACAATAACAACAATAACAATAAAAGAATAATAACAATAATAATAATAATAATAATAATAACAATAATAATAATAATAATAATAATAATAATAATAATAACAACAATAACAATAAAATAATAATAACAATAATAATAATAATAATAATAATAATAAAAAATAGTTCATAACGTTTTATAAATAGCTCTCAATAGTTTGTCACATTTATTTTATTAGTTTTTATCATTTAATTTATATAATGATAAATGCTAGAAAGTATCAAGATGAATGTGATAAAACACTAGAGACTAACATTAGAAATTATTATAAAAGATTACAAGATAAATTATAAAAAATAGCAATGAAAGTTCAAAGCAATATCTCATATTTTTTATCAAAGGGTTTTTCAATTTCTCTTTTATTTAACATATGAATTACATAAAATTCAACGTGTTTAGAAGTATTTTCTAATATCATTAAATATCTTAAAAATCTTCTAATTCTTAAAATAATGTGCCTCGAAATTCTCTTTCTATTTATGTCTCTAAATTTTCTCTATTAGAATTTCACATTTCTCTAATTTACATCTAAACATAAGCGTCTTTTACAAATGTTAGAAAAGACACATT